CCCCAAAACCCCAAAACCCCAAAACCCCAAAACCCCAGGTTTTAAGGAGATAGTTGAAAATTTAGAACGGTTATTGACTTCTGGGTTAGTGGTTTAGTTCAAAACTTTGGTTATACTTCTTAAGTTTTCTAATTTCCTCCAAAATAGACTTGTTCTTATCCTGTTCCTTACTGATCATATCCTCTAGTCTATTTCTCTTCTTTGAGTTATCCACCTGCTTTGGCTGCTTTAGCAGATTTGGCCTGCTCTTTGGAGCATTTGAGTGGTAAATTTCCTGTGGAGGGTTAGTAGGAAGAGATTGGAGGATTATTGGGGAAATAGGCAGGTTTAGACTGGGGGGTGAGGAGTCTTGGGGGATAGAGGGGTTTGAGAGGTAGGAATGGATTGAAGGTGTTTGGAAAGATGTGTTAAGAACGTACCTCAGGGCTGTGGGATGTAAATTGAGATGGGGGTTTTAGTGATGAGGGTGATTGTCTGAGTAACTGTTTGTAATTGTAGTAATTGTACCTGAAGAGCTTTTATTTGGGATTTCACTGATGTCAAAGAATTTGGCTTTGATTTGAGACTACAAACTGAGCTATCTAAAATATTATTAGTAACTTGGCAATATATAAATCTGAGTTATCAAAAGCTAGCCCTTACTCTGCTCTTCTTTATACAATTTCTCTATTTTTTCTAACTTTGTCTTAACCTGAGTAAGTTCAGCTTTATGAGCTTCGATATCAGTCAACAAAGCTGCAGTAGTCCTATATATAAAACCCTCACTTTACATTTTAAGCTCAGTTTCAAGTTCATCAATCTTCTCTTTCATCTGCTTATTCTTCTTAGTCAATTTGAAGATCTTAGTTTCCGCCAAAATGAGCTCTTGGTTATTACTCTCCCTAGCAATGGTAAGTTCCTTGTTTAATTTCCTATAGCATGAGAGGCTGAACTTACTGTTCCTGCTCAAGTCTGCACTCCAAAGAAGTGACTTTCTCCAGGAGATAAAGCGTCATGCTCTTTTCTCCATCTTTGCTTTGGCACTTCTTATTGGCTTTCAGAACCTTCAGCTCTTTCTCTAGAAATTTTTGGTTGTCTTTAAAATTAAAGCTAGACGAGTTCTGATTTGAAGGAGTAAAATTATGGATCTTCGATGTTTGGATATTAAAACTCAAATTTTCTTTATGATGAAGTGGAGATTTTGAACTACCTATAACAAAATTAGCAAGCTTGCAGAGATCGGCTTCTGTAGGTAGCTTACTCTTGTCATGATCTCTGTTTTGTCAAGAATATTTCTTCTGAATCTTATCAATTCTCGAAGGTCTTTGACGGCTAGAAGACTTTGTAATTAACCTGTTAGAATTCTTAGTAAAACTCCGGTTATGTTGAGCGATATCTAATAGCTTTTTATCATTCTTATGATCCTTTCAGAACGAATTCAACTCAAAACTCATTTTTTCAAATTTAAATATATTTAAAAACATCTAATTCAAGCTGCTCTTACAGACCGGGGTTTTGGGGTTTTGGGGTTTTGGGGTTTTGGGG